TTTTTTTCAAAAGGATTTGTAAACTCGGTTCGGGTTACTTTATTTGGTCTCACTTATTTTTAATGGTGCAGTGCAAACGGATAACTAGAACAGGCTTGCTCGTGCTGCGCACCTCCTTCTTGTAAAGGTGCCTATTGTAAGAATCACTAGTGTTGCCTTTATTTTTTTGAGCTGAAGACGTGAATTGTCTGTGACTTGAATGAGAGCAAGAAAAGCTGCTTTGTACTGAAATGTCTATTCATAAAAAGCACTCACTATGTTTGGTTTGGAACGAGTTCTATGACAATATACATGGCGGTAGATTTTTATGCTCTGTGAATACTACGTCCCAGCCTACTCTCACAAAGCGTATCTGTCCGCAAAGGCCGCGTGCGAATTGGAATCATTTGCTTATTTGATGTTTCCATATTTAAATTTTAGAAGCTACTTCTTTCTTATTTCGCAGCAGTCAACTATTTAGCCTATTGCAGCCTATAGCCATTGGAAGCCCGAACATTCTGCTTTTTTTTTTTTCATTTACAGATTCCTAATTCGCTAATTCCTGTTCTCAATGGGAGTCATTCATCTAACGAGATAAAAGAAAAAGTTTGAAGTTATAGAAAATCATAGTAATTAAGTAATAAATGATTAATTGTTGACGAATAATTTAACTAATCGAAAACGTATGACTGATGACATTAGTTTCATAATAAAGCGTTTTTCATAATAATTCATAGCGTACATAAAAAAACAACAGGAATGAGAGCATGAGAGAAAATTTCGTTAAATAGTGACTCCATAAACCTTTAAATATGTTTATAAATAAAATATTTTCCGAATCCAAAGCAAAATTGTTATGATCGAAACTAGGAGCGTAGCTTAAAAGGGCCAAGCCAAGTTAAGCGAGAAATAAGTGGATCTGCACCATGGGAGAAGCTATCAAGAGAAAGATTATACCAGCATAGTTGTAAAAGTTTCTTTTGTTGCGCCCTAAATTGACCTAGTAGAATTACCTTATTTTGTAGTTGCAAACATCTATGTCGTAGTCAGAAGTTAGGCTATACGCGGACGAGCACCTATGAATTCGTGCAAAGAAATTAGTAATTCAATAAAACTAAATGCGTTTTTATTAAAAAAAAGTAAAAAAGAGACTGTGATTATGGCTAGTAAAACCAATGCTTTGTAATTATTTACTATCACGTTAGACAGGTCAAGGATTGTAATTCGTCTGCCATAGATCCACATGAAATTCTGTGAAGCCTGCACTTGAATGGCCTAAGTATGGGCCCATCGACGAGTTGCAGTTTGTTTGAAAAGAGAGAAAGAATAGCACTGTCCTTTCAGATCGAGGCGTGTATAAATATTATTATGGGCATTCTTCCGGCGTAAATAGTTACCTATGGCGTATCCTGATGAGTGCTCTTGCCTATGCCCAATGTTGTTTCGTATGTCACAAATACCGTTTTATTCGGACAATGCATTATGTTTATAAAGTTTCTTTTGCTTTATAAAAACTACGATGTCTTAGTTTAACTTGACATATATATACACACGTTCCTACTAAGCCGAGTTATACTCTGAGTCTGTGCTCTTGATTGCATTCCGTTTCACATACGAGTCCAAGGAGGTGCACTTCTATAAAGCAGCTCCGTTTGCTCTTAAAAACGTAGGTTTGGAGCAAGCGAAACTATAATATAAAAACGAGATAATTATTTAGTTTCTGTCTCCTCCAGTGATGGGATAACAGGAGTGGGCTCATTTTTTTCCCGGCCCAAACGAAACGGCGTAATTTTTTCAGTAGCGAATAGCTCTGTCTCATGAAATGATAGTAGAGTATTCTTTTCGTTGTTTGTAGACGAGCCATTTTGTCATACGGTTGCTGCTGTTCCCAGCAGGCAATGGAAGCCTGACCGTTGGCTGTTATTATTCATCCATCCATCTTTCGTGGAAGTGTTAAAGCCAACTGGCCGAGTGTCGACTGATCTTCTCCGAGGCTTTTCGCCGTACGTTGAGCCGAGCTCCCGATAACCTGGTGCTCACGATGGCGATGGCGACAAAGCCCCGCGTGACTTCCATCCGGTAGAGAAGGGAAGATGTGATCTATTTCTATGCGTTCTCCGACCCATCAATAGACCCATCACCAACTGAAATCTGCCATCTTGGCGAAGCGATGGTGAAAACGAGTTCAACAGGAAAGTATCTTTTTGAACTGGATCTAATGACACTGACAATTAAACGCGATGTCCACTTGCAAAGCGCTACTGATAAATAGCGCGTTCTACAGTGTTTAGGGCACGATATTTAATCACCACAGCAAAACACTTATTGAAAGAAACACCCGTCATTCATTTATATTTTCATCTGTCGCCACATTTTAGAGCATATTGGAAATCGTCCACCAGCGAGAAGTAAAAAGCCATAGAGATCTCCTACCTTGTAGATAATTAACGGAGAATACAGGCGTAATATAATACTCGTCTTGACAGATGAAAATAGAATGGTGAAGACTGCTAATTGGACCAATGGATTAAGTGGAAATGCAAAATAGAATCAAATGAAACAGGTAGTAAACTGGATACGTACGTTTTGCCTTCAGCACATAACTTCTAAACCCAGTAATTGCTCGCGTGGACGTTCATGATGCAGAGCTCCTTGCATGTATATATTCAAATGTGCAGGGGAAGGAAAAGTCCATAATCAAGAAGTACTTCTTTATACTATTTAAAATAGAAGTAATAGAACTTCTGATGGTATAATAACTTACCTTTTACACACAATTTTACCCAAACGTTGGGATAAGAACACCACTCGAATTCATATCTGTCGTCGACTGTTCATGCAGCCTAGCTAGAGATTTTATACTTTTACAGCTATTGAACGCTTGAAAGCCTGGGATCGTTATAGTTTCTAACAGGTGTTCTCTATTTATATCGAAAACGTTCGCCGATTCGTTGACCCCTCAGATGCAGCTCCTGGTAGGGGTGTAACCGATCCGAAAAGCCACAAGGCTCTAGTTGTGTTAATTGTACTTAGTTTAAATTTGCTAAGCTCAATTTATTTTCAAATAAACCATGGGCAATATAAATGGGCAAGGTGTGCAATACGACGCTAATAGATGCCGCAGTGAGTCTGCGTAATACAGTCTTATTCTCAGTCCATTGCCGCACAAATGTATATGTACAATGGCCAGCGTAACACTCTGTGTGCAGTTGTGACCCAGAGGGACGTTAAGGGTCCGATTCACTCAAAATGATTTGATAGAAAAGTAACCTTGTGGATCAGCACTCCCAGGTTACAATAGTTCTAATAAAGGAATTATTCTTATTCACTTAATGTTACGTAATGTCGAGCGACTTACTTGTTTGGTAATAGCTTGTAGATACCTTCTGAATTCATTTTCGAAAGATCGATTTTTAATTACAGTCAGAACGTAATTATAATATATTCGTCACTTTCAGTCGGCATTCATTAGGTTCTATTGATAAAGTTTTGCGATGTTACCATCTGTAGGTGGCTCAATGTGTACTGAGACTGAAGCTATTAGACGGATAAGCGCTTGTTATTATATTTTGTACCTTACGCGTCGCATGACATGTTCCCACCCTATTAAGCTAGATAACGAGTAACATGGTTAATTTTGCTTAAACATTACGTCGCTTAGTTATACATCTTTGCGCATATATATAAAAATAGAAACTAATACCGATATCTTAGGCCAACCAAAAATTACTATTTTGTTTAGCATAGTGCCAATTACAATAAGGTTCATTAGTATCTAGGACGTGACGGTCTTATGTCAGATTTATTCGGGGCCAGAGACCATTAGTTGTAACTCTTTACTTGGTCTTTACTTACAGTGAAAACAATTACGCAAATCTTATAAAAAGCTAAATAATCAGTGCATACGTTATCAACCATTTTAGCCAACAAATTACATTTGATGAACGGTATATCATTTTAGAAGCTGCACATGATAAACGCATTTCATTAGTTGCTATTCTTAATGTTAGCCTAAGTTGAAAGGTCGCTCGTTCAAAGGTCAAAGGTCGTAGGATAGTACATGTGATAGAGCCAAGAAAACTATACGGCTTCACGCGTAATATGGACTATTATACGTTAGACATACTTTGTCAACATTGCCCTGCCAAACTAAGAAAGCTGCCGGTCATCCTCTTTGAAGGCCAATTCTCGCTATTTTCTCGATAACTTATTACAAATTCAGATTCATGTAATGAACTGGCCCTTTATTATCTACGATAATTGAAATAAGCCTCGATACGAATATACGTAACATGATCATAAGATACTTATTGGGTTTTTCAGATTGTTGATACGGTACAATATACAATAATCCATTACATAAAAAACAACAGCTAATTGTGTAATTCGATTTACAATTTGGGAAAACAATCTCATATAAATTAACTTATTTATACGGTCAATAATCGATGATGAAGTTAACTTGTTCGACTTCAAACTCCTATTTTAAATGAGATTTTCTTGGCCTTTTTGTTCTCTGGATCTTATTTATCACATGTCTGATCGAGTTGCTTTTTAATTTTTGTTTCATTTTAGCAAATTAGGTCGACATGTTTAAAAAGAGGTAAAAAAAAAAAGAAACATTCAAGCGAACAATCCATTCAAAGCTAGCTATATAGTATTTTTTTCATCTATAAATAACGTAGATAGGATAATGCTTTAATTTCGTGAACCAATGTAAAAAATTGACCAGTATTCTAATTCTGTTCCCTAGAGACGACAAATTTAGGTGACTTAAGTTGTTAACGGAAGATTAATTATAATATATAATACAATAATAATAATACTACAAGTACTTTGTAATGCAAAAGTTTGAAGTCTATCGAATCTCTATGTGAGTTCCTTTCTAGACTCTTCTGTGCTTTGTGGCCAAGGGTAAAATAAGGCAGTTACTGAACCGAGTTCGCAACCCAGACGAATTAATATTCAATAGCTCATACAAAGATAGCACGTTCTTTCTTCCTTTATATAGCTGTCTTTATTACAGTTAGACGATTCATGAACAATTTCACTTCGGTATTATAAAACTCACTATCTACAAAACTTCTTCCCTTCTCCAAAAAACTGGTTACCTGTTGATCTCAGCAGAGTCTATTAAACATGTTTATACATTAACTCGCTCCATGGCTGACGTAATTTTATCTAAAGCTGTAGCAACTTGCAATGAACTAGATGCTAGACATCCCTGGCCGAACTGGCTTTTAACGCTACTTTCAGACTTGAAAAGCAGTTATATTAATATATGTATATTTAGGATATTTTAGGACAAACGTAGTCAAATGAGGAGCGAGTTCAATCGATACACTGATAGTTCTGTTAGCTCTTCGAATCATTCAATTCCTTTTCCTCGCGAGACGGTTTTCCGTATAATACATGCGCCCGATCTATGAAAGCTCGACTCATCTGCGATGCAGTAGTCTTAAGGAACGCATTGGCTAAGGGAGTTTGCAGCGGTGACTTTACGACAAAGCTAACCTCAAAGTCGAGTATACATGATTGTTCGTCGTGAGCCACAAACATCCAACGCGACTCGAGGTCCCGGAAGAATGTGCCTTCCGCTGAGTAGGTCCGAATTCGATTTGGCTGTTGCCGGGTTACCTGCATGTAGAAGCAAACATAATAATACTAGAATTACCAAAGTCATGATGTAACCAACGGTACCAAGTCTAGCGATCCTCTTCATTGTTATTTACCCAGATGAAATTGATTCGAGTAGCTGAGTTCGAAATGCTTTAGCTCACCTGCAATGATATATTGTATTTTATTGTGCAGATTACAGTCGCTTTGCTTCAAGAAGTACTTAGGCCACTGTAGTCAGTCGCCTAGTAGCATTATGTCGCAGCACACGTAAGCGTTGTGTCAAGATACAACTTCAGTTAATGAAGAGATCCTCAATTCTAAGAGCATGTGTGCGCATTACTAATGATAGAAAATTGCTTTTAAAATAGAATAAATGCAAAAAAAAATTTTTAAATATATAGAATAACTACTGAATGATATTTTAGTTATGTTAAACTCTCCTAGTAAGTGCATGCAAATAATAAAGTTAGTAATAATAATAATAATAAAACTAGTAAAACCCTGAACATTGTATATATTCACTTACGAACCTATAGGAGCCAGCTCTGCCCTAAGCTGACTATTACTGTGACTCAAATTACATCCATCTGATAGAATTGTAAGGTATAATAATGCATGATAGTAATTAAAAAAAAAAAAAACGTGATTTTTAAATATATCTCGCGAGCGCGTGTCCGCGGGTGAAAGTGACTAAAGAACTATGGTGCTTACATGATGCTTGTGGGCACATCTCAGGCTCATATGATCAAGGAAGTACACTTTGTTCGTTATAATTCTCTCCACATACCTCTGACAAGTAGGTTTCCTCAAATGGGGTGAATCCGACAGTGAGCTGTACGTGCTCTATAAGGCCCCGACGACCTACGGCTTTGGATTGGTGGCACCATGGCAAAAACTCTGGATAACGACTAGTATCACTAACAACCTGATACATCTGCTCCTGACTATAACCAACTAATTTTCGTTCGTAGTGCGATACTTTGTCGCCACAACTTTTTATTAGATTGAACAAACATTGTTTTCGTTCCTTAAGTGCTTTACAATTTGTAAAGTTAACAAAAAATTGAGGTATTCGAACGCGGGTTAAGGAGGCCGCCATCTTGGACTGAACACATTAGCGGTTCTTTGCAATCCGTGGGCGGTTAACCTCTGCCATTAAGAAAGAAAATTGTGACTGTACTTACACTTCCATTGGTAATTGCTTTATAGCCATGGAACTAAAGACGACACAGCTTTGAAGAACTAACGTTATCGTAAAAAAAAAATAATAACCTTATAAGAACTTTTATTGACACCGTTTGTTCGGTACACAATATATATCAAATATACAAAAAGGACGATATCTATTACTCGAAGAAAATTTACAATTAGATTAAGGCTGGGCGATAAGTGGGGCAGTATTGGATCTGAATCCTTTCAAGAGGCTTATTAGATCGAAGCTTGCGTATTTTACGACCTTACTAAGTTACAAAAGTACTTCAAACTACCGTTTTGAATTTTAAATGCTTTAAGGTGTAACCTTAATCAATGAACACCGTTATTCAACGCCCCTTCCAAAAGCTTTTCAATAGCGCACCTCTCGAAGTGTCTTGAACGGGCAAATAATATACCCATAATCGATGATTTCTTTAGTGGGAGGAAACGGTTTACGCATTGGTTCTATTATTTGAACGTTGAAAATGGCGAAAATAGGTAGAGGGAAGATCGAAAGTCAAATCATAGCATGATACTATTATTAGATACAAGGACACAGGATGGCGAAGGCACACTCGTCCGTATTCTGTATGCGCAAGTATAGTTGTAAAATTGCGTTTCGTTTCAGCTGAACGTTCATTCAAAATTTTTTTTTCGACATTATTTTTATGAACAACTGATGTCGGGTCTTATTTCTTTTTATTATTATTATTATTATTTTAATTATATAATAATAATATAGGTAATGCTCAGGAATTAGAAATTCTTGTTGATCCTTTCCTAGATTACCTAAAATATGCTTGTAATTTTTGAGCTTTTTCAATTGACCACTATTTGATAATCAAGTTAACGATATACGCTCAAGTTCAACGGTAGGTAATGTTTAGAAACACCGGTTCTGAAAATCGCATTAGTGAATGGTCTATGACACCGGTAGTAGTTTTGAGGCGTGAAAATGCAATCAAGTAACATTGGCAAAATTAAGTTAGTCTTTCTAAATGTTTTATTGGAACAGCATTGGGATTGCTGACGAAAAATAAGACACATTTCTAATAATTAAACAAATACAACTACTAAAAGACAATAACAAACGGGCAATTACATATCAGTTAGCCACGGTAACTTCTGTTTAGACATATTAGGCCTACAAACAGAAGGGTACTGCTACTGGACCGCATTGTATACTTGCATCGTCACGATGATGACATATTCAGTGTAACCTCTATATCATCGTCCCGCGAATAATATAAAGGAGATCGAATTAGAATTGTATCTATAGAATATTGTAATTTTATCCTTTAAATAGCACTCGCTAGAGTGTTGGCCAGCAAGAGCACCTAATTGCTATATATTCGCGTTGACCACTAACTCTTCACGGTTAACCTAATGCCTTCTTGGTTCAATGATAAGGTCAGTACTCGGGTAGCACCAAGATGAAACCTCGTTGAGAACTATGCTTAAAATTATCATTAATTAGAGTTTCATTCAATGTTGCTAATGGCGATAAATACGGTAAAGATGGCTTGATGGAGAAATTGTCATAAAAAAGCAGGTAGATGCAATAAACGGTACTAAAATTAAACAATACCACGTATATTATATAATTTCATTAATGATTTAAAATGTGGATGCTAAACCTAGAAAATGTTACACATCAAAATGTTATTAATTCCAAAGGTGTTGCGGTACCATCACACTGATCAAAAGCGCAATTGTCAGTAATATATTTTCATTTGTCATTATGTAATTTTACGCTAAGCAATATGATCAAAAGTCAGCAAACGGACCGTTCGGGCTATCTCATCTACCCAGTAGTTTTACTAGGCTTCCTATATCATCAATTGTCGCGATGTTTATCAACCCTTGGCGTCATCGTGAATCAGCTGCTTGTCGCTACCTTCTCTATGTTCACGAACACAATTCGGTGCGGTACGGTTCACGAGCATGTAGAACATTGTATCTTAGGGCTTTCGCTGTTGCCCTTCATATAAGGAATTCCAAATACACCTACATTTTACGCGACCTAAAAATCTCGCGACGACTTTTCTCCTGTGGATGCCCGGTTAGGTGCCTAGGATTAGCTTGTCGCTCCGCGTGAAAGCAAACAGGTTTTTCATGTAGCGTTGATTTGTTTACTGGCGCAGTCGACGTGTCCGTATTGATGGCGTTGGTAGCGCTGTAAGGTTTTTACGTATAAATTGAAACGAAAAATAGGTGTATCAATAGCAGCAAATCTACCTGGCAAACAACCGCAGAAGTAATGTAATAAGATCACTGTTTAGAGGCGAGAGCAGTTTACATTTGTGTCAAGGTACGCTCGACTGCCCTTAATAGGACGATGAGAACGCTCTTTCAGGACCTCTGAACGTAACACAACAGTGAGACAGACACAGACATCTCACAAAAGTGTGTAATGATAGATTTTTTTAGTTGCAGGTATTCGATATTCGACTTTAAAAACCTTAAAATATTTAAGATTAAAAAAATCTTAAATATTTTAAGGTTTTTAAGCTGAGTGCCCCCGAATAGTCACGTCAAAGCATTTAGAGTGATCTAATACTGTTTATTATAAAAATATAGAGTTCATTAGGGTCACCGTTTTCTCATTTATAATGATACTCATGGTTACGGTAACGATATGTTTTATTGATTAGTTTCAAAGTTCACAAAATGCTTAAACTCTACAACAAGTGCGCAGCGGTTAATTTATCTAATTCACCGTTATTATTTATTCATGGAAAGTAGAGCTAGATACTCGGGCGGACAGAACTTCGCTTTAGAACATCCGCTTGAAATATAACTGATATATAGCGACAGAGGTCTTAGTTATAGTGAATTTTCTAAGGCTTTTTACGGGCAGTCCAAAGCAGACAAGTAGATGGCAAAAATCAGCGTCTGCTTATGAGATAACGCGTCCACTATGAATCCCTTCGCTATTTCCTCTTTCCAAGTGAAGGTCTTTGAAACGTGGCCACAGTTCTTACGGGGATTTCATACTATACAGGGCCATAGTGTGAGGCTACATTCAGTCAACCAGTCGGATGGTGGAGCCGATACTTTAGTAAACTGGATTTGGCGGCTTCAAATGATAGGAATCGGGCAATCCACTTCATTAACTTTGGTACGGTACTGTGAAGAGCATATATTGCAATGGCTCGATAAGCTGTGCACTATCGAACTTATCCTCTTAAAAAACCTCTGGACATATCAGCGACAGTTCGCATCACATTATATATATATAAGATCTGTCAACCGAACCTGGCATTTCATATACAATATGATGTTATTATAGAATTATAAATTGAACACTAAAAGTGTGGAGACTGAGTAAAAATAAGTTCTCCATAAATAAACTTGGGGACAGTTAGGAGCGCAGTGCTTTCTTGCGAAATTTTAAACAATAAAAAAGTCTGCCTGAAGCATACGTCCATTATAAATGAGCCATCTACGTCACAAGAGGCGGAGAATCGGTGAGAGAATGACGTTGCTTTAAAAAGAAATTGAGTTCAGTGGTAAGTTAATAACTGTTAATTCGCAAGTTTGCAACCACATTATATTTGGACGTGAAATGATGCAGTACTGGCGATTATGAGGTACTTGCGGAAAAGCGAAACAGTCAATGAGTTCCTCGACCGTTGTTACGGCGATCGCAGCTACACATCTGGCAGTCTGGTCACTTGACGACAACGCGAGATCTTATAGTTATGCCTCAGTTATTTTCTCGATTGGCCAAACGAATGTCTAACGCTCATGTCGATCCAACTGCAGATAGAAACACGAGTTGAAGGTGTGTGGCTGTTTAAGACAGGTGTATAAAAACGAAAGAGAATATTTCCAGCCCACATAGTCTGCCGTTCATCTATATATCTACATGTCATAATATTAATAGATGAATAAATATACGTGTACGGTTTATATAAGCGCGAAGCGAGTGGCCATGAAGTGTTTGTCCCTGCTAGCCAACGATAAAACCTAAGGTGGTAAAATGTGTAGTCGCCCCGCGCATTGCCTACTATGAAGCGCAGTCTCTCCGAGCTCCCAATGACCAAATTGCTCGACAATGCAGATCTCGTTGATCGGCGTCTTTCTTGATCGCGGTCCGTAGGTGGTGGCTTTGCCGCTTTATGGGCCTTTTAAGCAAGAAAGATGGCGCAATACGTTTTAAAGAAGGACTCAAATCAACGGAACACGACAAGGCAGAGGGGAAAATGTTGGATCGGACCGGTCGAGGCAATACCACAGACCTAACCTGCAACTCTCATCTCTCATCGTTGCTGTTCATGTCGGGAACGTTTGGACTGAGTAGGCAATTTTCTTCTTGTGTTTTCGTTCCAAGAAAAGATCTGCCTTTGGTCATCCCCTTTTTCAGCTTTTTATCATAGAGTGTCCCATAATACTTTACATTTAGATGTAAGATACCTTTGCTGAGCCAGGACGTCACAACAAGGTTGACATTACGCTGTGCCAAGCTCTAGAGTAGATTATGACATAGCAGAGAGGAGGGAGTAATCACATGTTGGACTTTAGTGGACACAAAATAGTTCATGTGGAACACCACCTTGTTTTCTACTTTCTCATAAATGTTGCATGAATAAATTCCCTGTGGCATATCGTTCATCCCCAGATTATTTAGTCGTAAGGCTCAAATCTTGTTTCAGAAGGCGTGTTTAGCATTTGAATTGTTGACTGCATTTTAGACGCATCGATTCATGGCTACGGTACCGCAGCATGATGATGTATTTACTTGATAAACGGAGAGATCTGGATTACTCAAATGAGGACTTTTATGTAAAACACAAACATTCAATCCGTTCAAACATGTCGTATTGACCAATTTCTCTACCCCGTTTCAACAGCGATACCGGGTTGATAGTAGAAGGAATGGCTGTAAGCCACTGTGTGGAG